TAAGAATTTGTCTAGTTTTACAACCGACACATCTTTATGGCCTTCAATGTATGATCAAGGTTTTGCAAGCTAATGCTGAGATAGAAAGATCAAGATTTACTCTGAATAAGTTAAAGAAGAAGTTTAGGAATGTAATGAAACTTGTGAACACTTTTAATGCTATGATTATAGATGTACCGCCACAAAATGTAGTTTGTGTTGTTAACCACAGTGTGTCTGAATGAAAAATACAGGAAGAATTGTCTCAGGGAGATTCTATTTGTGCAAATTGTGAAATTTGGGGTAATTATATTGAGGAGCTTGAATAATAATAAAAAAAAAAAAAGTAACTGAGAAAGCAATTGTTGACAAAATGCATAACAATATGACACAGATAGCTACATTCTCAAAGAAAAAGATGATAAAAGATGCATCTTCGAAACCAGATCCTGTGTGAGAATCTTGTATTCCTGAAACGTCTTTATTGCAAGAAGAGGAATATAAAAATATAACAAAATGAGAAAGAAAAAATTATTAGGGTCATGCTTCAGGGCCTGTTCACACGACGTCCGTTTTATGTGCTGACCTGATCCGTACGCTCCTGCACTAAATATGCATCCCAATGTATCCCTATGTGTTTTATGGGCTACAGTTCTCACGTGCACAGTCCATTCAAGTTACGACAGAAAAAATACTGCATGTCACATTTTGTCCGGTCAGGAAACGCACGAACGCAGCAAAAATGCAACGAAAACGGAACGCAATGCCAAAACAAACGTCATGGTTGGGGTAGAGGTAAAGACATGAAGTGCAAACATTTTGAACATGCCCATTACCTTTCCATGGACATACGAGTAAAGGAAAAAAAATGTATCCGGGTGAGCTCGCAAATCCTCATATAAACTCCAGAACTGACCCTTGGGAGTCCCGGAGCCTCAAGATCGGGTGTACCCAATAACGACGTCTCCTGCGAGCTCGTTCTCTGCAGATTGCTGTAGCCAGCACCATCAACATGCCGGCAAACATGTGGTACATGTCTGATCACCAGCTTTACATACACAAAGGGAAGTAGATAATACGAGAGGGCGGAAGTGACCTCAGAGGAAGAATCTGCATACTGACAGCCTCACGGCTTGAGGAAAAAAAAAGCCCGTCAGCATCCGGCCCGAAAACGCATCCAAAAACGCACTGCATGAGTAGCACTGCGTCTGCAGATCCGCACCTGATCAGGACCTGAAAATCATGTGAACAGGCCCTTAAAGTTGAAATTGCAGATCCATGATCAACAAAATTTTGAAGGACATCCCAACATATGATCCAAAGGCTGATACATTCCATATTGCAGATGTTTTTGAATAACAGACAGATTTAATCTGACAGATGAGAAAAAATAAAATAACAGTATTTATGTTTTATGGTTGCCAAACTATATTTCACGTCGTTTAGGAAAGTCTCCATATATTAATGAGGAAAGCGTGGAAATACAAGACGCAAGACTGACGGGACTTGTTAAGTGAAACAAAGAGAACCAGTCACTTGCTTTTGCTGTCAGAAGCCAGGTCATTTGAAGTGGCAGTGTAGGACATTTTTGAGAGATGTTCAAACAAAGAATTTGGGTAAGGAGAATGGCATTGTTTCTCTTAAGCCATCTGCCCCTCCTTGCCCGAATTAAGTAAAGTAAACCTTACCCTATGCTCCTCTGATGAAGCACATTAGGGAAAGCTCAATCAACCATGGTTTGGATGCAAAAAACTTGCAATCAACCACTGATAATTCAGGTGGTTTGCTTCCAACACCATAACTAGAAAGAGAAATAAAGTCTCATAGATTACATCGCTTAGCTATTTCTCGAAACATGCGGCCGTCCAGATCTGAAGGCGAAATTACATGGACAAAAAAATGAAATTTTTGAAAGACAATGGAGCGCAACTATCTGTGACAGGACTAAAACTACCTCCACTACCAGAATCTTCAGTTTTCCCAATTGTAGGGTTTAACAGGAAATTCGAATGCTACAATGTGTAAAAAGATGTTTCTTTTGAAATATCTGGTTGTGTAAAAACTGAAATTGACATTTGGTATTGCCAAGGACCAGGATATTCTTTGGACAGATTTCATGAAGAAAAGCGGTTGGATAATGGATCTGGGAAATTGAATCATTTGGAAAGATTCAACTAATCGTAAGCCTGTGGTAATTGACCCAGCAGATTACAGTGAATGTGGTAGTATCTGTGTGGCAGATGTGATCGCATAGATGGCCAGATATGGGAGACAATCTCGAATTGAAAAAAATTGGGGCAATCATATAAAAATCTTTGGAGTCAAGGAAAAAATGTTGCAGGATTGTTTAAAGATATTGAAGTAGATGTACAAGGAAAAGATCTGCCACCACAAAAACAATACAAATGCCACCAGATTCTATTGAAAAACAGTATCAATGGTCTTTCTTCAACAAGGGATCATTAGGAAAGCTAATTATGTGACAAATCCACTATGGGTAGTTTCTAAAAGAGAAGACACTAGTGCATATACAGTCCTGGCCAAAAGTTTAGAGAATGCAGGGGTGTGGAAATATTTGAAAAAGCTACTTGTCCAAGGACTAAAGCGGGGGCCGGAACTACTCGAGACAATCTACTTGTCCTGATACAAAAAGAAATAATTTTAACCAAAACCGTATTTAGCAGTGCTAAGAAGCGCTTCTCATTGGTCAGTGCCGTCAGGTGACCGCGTTGACCAACGAGTGCTTGCAATTTGCAAGCGAAATTCAGAATACATGGAACAGGTACAGATAGTACACCCGTACTGGTGGACGGGAAGGACCGTTCGCCGAAAGGTAAGTATAGTGGGAGGGAGATTTGTGTGGGTAATTCAATTTTCCCAAATTAATTGGGAAAGTGAATTTACCGTTTAGGGTTGGTGCAGACTTGGACAATCCCATCTGCATGCACCGCGCAGTGTTTTCAACCGTGATCGTGTGGGATCGCCCGGGCGGTATTGCGGCCGGAAACCGTGCAATCTGCCTGGCGCTACTGGAAAATAAGAAAATAATGGCACTGTCAGCACGATCGGCGGTGGTGTGAGACTCCGTGACCGCCCAGCCATCCGCTCGATTTCATGCACGATGACCGGGCGGTCACGGATCGCACACCACCGCCGATTGCGCTGGCAGTGCCATTATTTTCTAATGGCACTCCAGTTGTGCCAGGCAGGTTGCGCGCTTTCCCGCTGCAATAGCACCCTGCCTGTGCGGTTGCACGCGATCGCAGTTGAAAACACTGCACGTTTATTCGCATGCAGATGGGGGCAGCGGGGCTGGTTTTTATTTTTTACATTTTTATTTACTTTGTACATTTTTTTCATGTATTTTATTATTTTTAGTTACATTTTTTACTTAACTGTATTGCTATCACACAAGGGATAACAATCCCCTGTGTGATAGCATTTGGAGGTGACAGGTACTCTTTATTGACCCTCCAACACAGGCGTTCTAGCAGGCACTGTGACAGGAACGTGCAGCGGCCTGTTAGAGCTCCACCGTCCGGCTCTGTCACGGCTCCACGCCCCCTGCTCCAAGCACTTCATGCCTCCCAGCGCTCCATGCTCGCCGCTCAGTTAAGAACCAAAAAAATAAAAAATCAGCCCTGCTACTTGTCCATAGCAGGGCTAAAACACTGAAAAAAACACTTGCCTGGCGCCCGGAACTACATGTCCCGGGCATCGGGCGATATGAATTCCACACCCCTGGAATGACACAAATATTAATTTTCACAAAGTCAGCTGCTTCAGTGTTTTAAGATCTTCTTGTCAGATGTTACTATGGTATACTGAAGTACACGGTGGGCCACGAAAAAGTAGCTTGCCCCCAATACTAGGCCACACTCTTTGGAGGAGGCCATAACCCCTTGCTCTCTGTCGACCTGGTGTCGCCCCATGTGCAGTTTTCTGGCTTTATTTTGCCTTCCTATTTAGTCTTTCTGTGTACATCCCATCAGAAAGATGGTATTCTCCCTGGAACAGCGGAAAGTAATTATGGAAGGCTATGTACGAAGTGGATCGATTAAGGAAACGCAAGAGGCGTTCGCCGACAAGTACCCAGGAACAAAGCCACCAGCTAAACGTTGTATTCAGAGTCTGGTTCGGAAATGGCGTCAAACCGGCTCTATCTCAAACATGAAAAACAACACACAAAAAAAAACCGAGGCCCCCATCAGTCCGGACGCTCGAAGTCGCTGTGACATTCAGCAGCGGATTGCAAATAGGCCCTGAAAATCAACTGGGACCGACTCAGCAAGTTTGTGTATCACAAATTACTTGTCAGCGAGTGCTGAAATCTTGGAACCTCAAACCGTCCCAAATAAACATGTGTGCAGGAACTGAAAGAGCCCAACAAAGCCAAAACATGTAAATTACCGTACATGGTTTTTGAATATGATTGCTGACAGACCTGTTGGACCCATTGCTGTACTTCATGATGGACGAAGCTTGGTTTCATTTATCAGGTCACGTAAATTCCCAGAACACGAGGTACTGGTCCGCTGAAAATCCCAACTTGACTCACGAAACACCACTTAACGACCAGAAAATTGGCGTTTGGTGCGCAGTGTCAGGAACACAAATAGTGGACCCAATTTTTTTTTTCGAATCCACTGTGAATACTGCAGTTTACCTGGATGTCTTTGAAAAATTTTATGACCAACACCAGAAGAAAAAAAATTTACTGCTTTTTCCAACAAGATGGGGCAACTTGCCATACCTCACGTGACTCACTAGAATGGGTTCATGAACTGTTTATGGAGGAGCGAACTGTGAGCAAGGGGGTTATGGCCACCACGTTCCCCAGACTTGCCCACATGCAATTTTTATCTGGGGGGAAATTTACAGCAGAAAGTGTACGCTAACAATCTACATACCCTGGATGAACTCAAGGAAAACAATCACAAACACTATCCGCAGCGGCACTGTTGAAGAGCTGCAAGCAGTATCAGCCAATATGCTCCAGCGTGGATGTGAACAGGGACCACTTTCAGCATCTGTTGTAACTTGTGGGTAAGTGAATAGAAACAATCCACTTGCTTGTTCATCTTGTCATACTATCGCCGGAGGCGGGCTACCTTTCCGTGGCCCACCCTGTATGATTAAAAGCATTTCACAAGTGTCAAAGGCTTTTGGCAATTACATTTACTGTTTCTGTAAAGAGCCAATATTTGCAGTGTTGACCCTTCTTATTCAAGACCTCTGCAATTTGCCCTGACATGCCGTCAATCAACTTCTGGGCCACATCCTGACTGATGGCAGACCATTCTTGCATAATCAATAAGGAACAGCGAATGATTTGTTAGAATTTGTGCATTATTGTTATTTTTGCACAGATATTGATATTTTTATGCACTTTGAATGTTTCCCAAGGAGAGGTTATCAGCGTTGTTCCTTTTTGTTGACTAACTATCAAGGTCTTACCACCTGAGTATAGCAGCTTTTAGCTAGTCCGTTTTCTTTCCTTTGCTACTTGCATAATCAATGCTTGGAGTTTGCCAGAATTTGTGGGGGGTTTTTTGTAACCCGCTTCGAGAATTGAGGTCAATGGGATTAAGGTCTGGGGAGTTTCCTGGCCATGGACCAGAAATGTCAATGTTTTGTTCTCCAAGCCACTTAGTTATCACTTTTGCCTTATGGCAAGGTGCTCCCTCCTACTGGAAAAGGCATTGTTCGTCACTAAACTGTTCTACTATTCTTGAATGGTTGAGAGAAGTTACTCTTGGAGGATGTTTTAGTACTATTCTTTATTCATGGCTGTGTTCTTAGGCAAAATTGTGAGTGAGCCCACTCCCTTGGCTGAGAAGCAACCCCACACACATGAATGGTCTCAGGATACTTTACTGTTGGCATGACACAGGATTGATGGTTGTGCTCACCTTTTCTTCTATGGACAAGGTATTTTCCGGATGCCCCAAACAATCGGAAAAGGGGATTCATCAGAGAAAATGACTAACCCAGTCCTAAGCAGTCCATTTCCTGTACCTTTTGCAGAATATCAGTCTGTCCCTGATGTTTTTCCTGGAGAGAAGTGGCTTCTTTGCTGCCCCTTCTTGACCCTTCCATCCTCCAAAATTCTTCGCCTCACTGTGCGTGCAGATGCACTCACACCTGCCTGCTGCCATTCCTGAGCAAGCTTTGCACTGGTGGCGCCCCGATCCCGCAGCTGAATCAACTTTAGGAGACGGTCCTGGCGCTAGCTGGACTTTCTTGGCCACCCTGAAGTCTTCATCACAACAATTGAACCTCTCTCCTCAAAGTGCATGATGATCCCATAAATTGGTTGATTTAGGTGCAATCTTAGTAGCAGCAATATCCTTGCCTGTGAATCCCTTTTTGTGCAAAGCAATGATGACTGCATGTGTTTCCTTGCAGGTAACCATAGTTAACAGAGGAAGAACAATGATTTCAAGCACCACCCTCCTTTTAAAGCTTCCAGGTTGTTATTCTAACTCAATCAGCATGACAGAGTGGTCTCCAGCCTTGTCCTCGTCAACATTGACACCTGTGTTAACGAGGGAATCACTGACATGTCAGCTTGTCCTTTTGTGGCAGGGCTGAAATGCAGTGGAAATGTTTGGGGATTAAGTTCATTATCATGGCAAACAGGGACTTTGAAATTAATTGCGATTGATCTGATCACTCTTCATAAGATTTTGGAGTATATGCAAATTGCCACCATACAAACTGAAGCAGCAGACTTTGTGAAAATTTATATCTGTGTCATTCTCAAAACTTTTGGTCAGGACTGTAGACTTTTGATAGATCTTAGAATGCTGAATAAGTATACTCTGAATTGTGCCCCAATTGTTGCGGAGACTCCCGATATCATGTCAAGATTAAACGTGAAGGCTAAAGTATTCTCTGTGATTGACATTGCAAATGGGTTTGTTTTTTTCCAAATATGTTTGACTTGCGTTAAAAGTGCTTTTACTTTTCAAAATGAGCCATATGTATTTACAAGATAGTGTTTCATGTAGGCGTTCGCAAAGGTATTGTGAAAATTCTCAACACCAGACTGTTTGTTACAGTATGTTGATATTTTGTTGAGTACAGAGGAAGAAAAGAGCCCATTGTGCACAGACCAAAGTAGTTCGCAATTAATGTTCGTCAGCACCACTAACTGGCTGATTTTCATCGATCGAAAGAACATATTTTCGTTTGAGCATGTACAGTTTTCATCTTGAGATTTTTGTTGTACAACGCCACTAACCCGTCGATTTTCGTCCAACTAGACAAATTTCCTAGCCTGCTTGAAAGACAAAAATCTACCAGTTGTACAGTAATTGAGGTTGTGCACTTCCAATCAACTGGCAGATTTTCGGACGAAAACGCGATGGCAGACAGAAATCTCTAGATAATTGTAAGGTGTAGGGGCAAAAGTTAAGAGACAGCTTTACCTTCAGAACATGTGGAAGAAATCATTCCTCCAGAGCACACAGAGAGAGGAGATGTGTTGGGATAACTCTGAGAGTTCTTATCTCTGCTCAGAGGTGATATCTGACACCTGTGTGTGCTCCTTTGTGGGGTGGGGGGGGGGTGCGATATCAGCGGATTACATTTTAGGCTCCATTCACACAACCTGTATGAAAAACCGTGCAAACATTAACATATGCGCAGATTCAGCACGTTTGTGGCTATTACTATAGCGGGAACGTGTGAAGTCCACCCATAAAAATTGCGCTTGGACTATTTTGCGGGATCCGCGGTTTTTACGTTGTGGCCGCCGCCATATTTTGAGCAGTGCACCTTGTTTTTTTATGTTTAGCGTGGTTCCGTGCGTATTTGGCCGTAAAAACACACACACAATCTCTCTCTTCTGGAACGAACCCAAAGACTTCTCATCACCCCCGAGCACACCCCCACAGTGAAGCATGGTGGTGGCAGCATTATGCTGTGAGGAAGTTTTTCCATCGGCAGGGACTTGCAAACTGGTCAGAATTGAAGGAATGATCGATGGCACTAAATACAGGAAAATTCTTGAGGGAAACCCATTTCAGTCTGCCAGAGATTTTAAACTGACGGTGGACGGTGGTTCACTTCCCAGCAGGACAATGACCCTAAGCACTGCTAAAGCAACACCTTTGTGGCTTAAGGGGACCATTTAAATGTCTTGGAATGGCCTAGTCAAAACCCAGACCTTAATCCAATTGGCATGATTTAAAGATTGCTGTACACCTGCGAAACCCATCCAACTTGAAGGAGGTGCAGCAGTTTGGCCTTGAAGTATTTGCAAAAATCCCAGTGGCTAAATGTGCTAAGCTTATAAAGACGTACCCGAGAGATTTACAGCTGTAATTGCTGCAAAAGGTGGCTCTACAAAAACTAAATCGATTAAATTGTTTATAAAAATCAATAATGAGAAACTCGAGAAAATCGATTAGTTGACGCCACTCTACTCCCCGTTGGTGCTGGCTGCAGCGGTCTGTGTCCCTTTGAATCCCCGCTGCTCTACCAGTCTGTATCGGCAGAGGCAGCAGGAACACAGGCAACTGCACCTGGCACCAGCGGGGAGGAGAGACCGATATGACTACCTTCCTCCCGCTGACCCCCCCCGTACCTCCACTGCTATCCAGGTCTGCCCCGATCCGTTCCTTCGCTCACCCGGCTGTGACCTCCACTTTTTTGATCACCCGACCCGTTACTCCGCTGGGCCTGTTCCTCCGGTTCATTTCTGCGATCACTTGGCCAGTTCCTCCTCTGCCCCCCCCCGTGACTCCTCTGCCCCACCCCCATGCCTCTGCTGCATCTAGAGGCTGGGGGCTATATCCAGCCTGCTATTGGATATTTTAAAATGCAATGGCCAATAGCAGGCTGGCTATTGCGCCTGCCCACTGCTTGCTGTCAATCAGCAGAGGAGGACGTGATGGAGAACTTTCTCCTTAAAGGGGTTCTAAAGCCTCCGGTTTTTTTTGCCTATATCTAGCACTAGATATAGGCAAAAGGTTTTTTTTTTTTAAAACCCCTGCTTTAACAGCGGTTAAAACTTACCTCGTTATCGCTGCGCGCTTCCGCGCCGAGAATCCGGAACTGCTTGTGCGGCCGCAAAGGATCTTGCGGGCGCATGGGGTTGAATACTTTTGCAAGCCACTGTAATTTCATACTAAAAGAAAATAGCAATTTAATCTATTGATTCATTCAAGGGGATCCTTCAGGAAATAATGCTTTTTTAAATCACATGTATGTACTATCCGAACACGGTCTTGACTCCACCTTAAATTTAGCAAGGACTGTAGACGATTTAGTGGGACGGACTCATGTAACATATGTGTATTAAACTCCGATCAACTTTGCACTACACTATAGAACAACTGCTGGAGGTAGCGCATATATAATTATAAGAAAATAAATAAAAAAATATAAAACAGTGAACATGGTGGAAATGTTGGGTGCCAACAGCAAAATGCAGGTAGCAACCATGACCTGCAACAATACAGATAAGGCATGCTTGATGTTCACTGATGACAGTAGAGGGATTCCATCAGCAACTTTTCTACCCGCATGCAACTGTTGAGGATTTTCAGGTCTATGACAGGGTGAACCCTTCCCTTGGACATGGGGACGGTGAAAAGCTAGTGAAGCTACTAGTGAAGGGGGAGCACAGCCAGGGACAACATAAATGGTGTCCCGGTAGGCAATAATACCTTCACCAGAGCCATGATCAGGATGTGTGGTCTCTGCACCCCCCTCATCTATGATCTGCCACATGCCCTCCACACAAAACTCACGGCCAGTGGTGAGAGGGTGCCCGGTGTCCAGACATTGTAGGAAACAGGTGACCCAGGCTAGGGAAAAAAAATGCAACAGTGAGGCTCTCCCTTGTGTGTGTGCACAGAGTCGCAACAGCAGTAAGCGTGTGTCCAGCCAGAAGTGAGTGCCAAAAGAAAATGGTTGTGTGCACACAGTACAGTACCCAGAAAAGAGGCTGTGCAGGCATGGTTCACAGCCGCACGAAAAACAGCCATCAGCACCAATGTATCACCACTAAAAGGTGCTTCTCGTGCAGTGCGCCATGTCATTTTCTCCCCGGCACGTCAGCTTGCATGAGCTCAGTGTGCCGAGATGAAAAAATTAATCTTCACCCAATGAAGCTCACGCGTCACG